ATGACTGAATTAGATAAAATTTTCCTTATATGCTGTTGACATAATTTTATAATTTTGAGACCACAATTTCTGCCATTTCTCTAATTCAATCCCATGTCCAAAATCCCCCCCCCAAGATATCATAGTTTCTTCGACTTGTTCTTCCTTCAGCTTAATCTCTAGTAGGTGTCCATATAATTTTTAAATTACTTTTTCATCAGTACCTATCAAAATTTTATCTAATTCAGTCATTTTATCATAGAAACCTTCCGTTTTAAGATCTTTATCATATCTAGACTGTATTTGCACATGTGAAAACCAATTCATTCCTATTCCTTCCTCTTTCAACTCTTGCATAGATTTAAGTTCACCCTCTGCATTCAATGTTTCACCATATCTGTTTCCTTTTTATATATTATTGGATATGAAAAAGCTTCGATAGTTGATAGCCAGACTGGAATTTTTAAATTGTATTGCCTTTTGATCTTCTCCCAATTTAGTAACAAAGCCTCACATATATTAGTGTCTTCTAAAATAACCCTGTGTTTTAGTTCCCTTATACCATAAAAAAGCATGCCATCTCCCATCCCAATATTCTGCTGTTATCTTTTTCCACGATACTCAATCTACTATTAATGTCCTCAACTTTCTTTTCTCTTTGTTCATCTCTTTCTTCAATTTTTTTGCAGTCTATCCTCATATTTCATCATCCATTGTTGAATGTTTCCAATTTTTTCCTCTGTTTTACCTGTCTTTTGTTCTATGGTTTCTGTTCGTTGTTCTATCGTCTCAATTCTCTTTTCAATGCTCTCTGGTCTTACTTATAGTTTTTGTATTCCTTGCCTAATCGCCTCTAATGTTACTCCCTTATCTTTTTCCTGTTGAAGCACCGTCTGCATTGATCTTCGTCCTCCTGCGGGTGAAGAGGAAGGAGTTGTTGTTGCGGAGCTAATGATGGTTGTTTTTTTTATTCATTTTCCAGATTTTTCCTTTGTGTGTTTTAATCCACCTAATGTAAGGTGAAATTGTGGTCCCAGGTGACCATGGGGAGGTCAAAAAATAAGAAATAAAACAATAAACTGGTTAGGTGGCAACAGAAGAGTCAAAAAGAGAAAAACATACAATAACATAAAAAACCAAAAGGGTAAAAATCTTGGTCTCTTGTATGCCCTTATACAATTGGTTCCAATTAGAAGGGGTAAAAAAGAAAAGGTAAGAAAATAAAAAGGGGAATAAAAGAAGAGAACAATTCCCAAATAAGAATATGAAAATATGAAAATATGAAAATGCAAAAGTTGTAAATAGAAAAAGGGAAAAAGGGGAAAAAAAGGATATTTAAGTGTTCCTTTGGCCCAGGCCACTTAAAACAAGCTCACAAACTGCCTCAAAAGGGGAAAAAAAATTCAAAAGGGAAAAAGGAGAGAGAAAGGAGGCAGAGTTGCTTCCATAACAGAGTAAGGTAAA